CACAAACGGCAATGGCCACCACAGAAACACCAGCACTGCCAGCAAATCTCTGAATCCTCGCGATAGTGCCACTCTGCTGGGACCGAGCGAGTCCACCGACTCCCTCGGCAAAACCCTACGGCCCTCATCGCCGACTCCCTCTATGAAGAATCGCTTGCCGTATCCCAAGGATGAGCCGATTGTCACTCATGGCTGGACACTGACAACTCCCTGTGGTTTCAGAGAGGTCTGCAAGGCCGTTCGCGAGTCCGCTTTCGAGACGAACGAATTACCCCTGATTGTCAGTCTCGAGGTGCACGCCGACAAGGACCAGCAGGAGGTGATGGTCAAAATCATGAAAGAGGAGTGGGAAGGCATGTTGATCGACAAGTCGTGGGAGGGCATTGATCCCCGGTTCCGCCTCCCCAAGCTCGAGGAGCTGAAGCGCAAGATCCTCGTCAAGGTCAAGAAGGCTCCTAATAAGATTGAGGTGCCTCCCAGCACTACAGCCCTCTCCCAAAAATTTGCCAACGACGAGGACGCTTCGGGTTCCGACGATGAACATACCAAGGAGGCCCCTAAACAGGAGACGCCGAAACCGCCCATGACACCCAAGTTTGATGCCCCGGCCAAGGTCCATAGCGGAAACGAGCCAGCCAAGAGCACAAAAGTGGCCATTTGCCAGGCACTCAGCAGCCTGGCCATCTACACCCACAGCGAGCACTTCAAGAGCTTTGAGACGCCGGCAGCTAAAAAGCCGAGTCACATCTTTTCGATCAGTGAGAACAGGATCCTGGAATTGCACACGACCAAGGCTCGCGAGATGTTCACGCACAACAAAAACTTCTTCATGCGGGCATTCCCCAACGGCTCGCGTGTCGACAGCTCCAACCCGGACCCCAGTCTCTTCTGGCGCAAGGGCGTGCAGATGGTTGCTTTGAACTGGCAATACCTCGACGAAGGAATGATGCTCAACGAGGGCATGTTCGCGGACGAGCTGGGATGGGTCCTCAAGCCCATTGGATACCGCAGCACTGATAAGGATACGCTGACAGAGGTCGACGCCGCGCCGCAGGGCGATCTGGAGCTCACCGTCACAATTATCGCTGGCCAGCACATCTTTGTTGACGACGATTCTGCCAGCGATAGTAGCCGTGGTAAGCACCTTCGGCCATTTGTCAAATGCGAGCTTCACGTCGAGATTGGAGCGCAAAACGGAAAGGCTGCCGACGAAGACGACTTCAAGCTCAAGACGGGATCTAGAAAGACTGACCACCCCGAGTGGGAGAACGGAGCACGGCTCAAGTTCCCCAAGATCTCGAGGGTGGTGGAGGAGTTGAGTTTCCTAAGGTGAGAAAAGTCACGGTTTCCTTCAATTTTTTTTGGCTTCCTTTCTCCCCTCAGGCAGCGGCATATCTGTGCCTACGAGCCTTGACGATCTTTTGAGACTATGACTCGAGAAGACGGTGAGGAGGATATGTGCGGCTCCGCGCCTACCCTCCCGCGCGCCGGCGTATCCGACCTGCAAGACCAGAACAGCCCCGGCGCTGTATATTGTCCGAAGTCGTGACGGCTCCCCGACCCCCGGGAATGGCCTGATTCATCCTCGGATGCCATGCCGGGACCCGTCGCCGCTCTTCGTCGTAGGCACGAGACGGGAACGCTGGTGGAACGAAGAGGGTCGTCGAGCTATCCACCTTCCATGCCGTGTCACCGTCCCCTTCCCGTTCACGAACCGTTCACCCGTCAACACTCACCTGCCACGCGGGCCGCTGCGTTGACAGTCCGGGCCGCCGCACACCGCAACGTTGTTCTTCTTTCTCCCGCTTCTCTGCATCCTGCGAAAAGCCATGACAAAAAGAAAAAAAAGAAAAGAGAACGAAAATGTTTTTACTGACTTGTGTTTGAACCGCGCAGATTCAAGATTGAGGATGATCCACTCCTGGGCGGCGACGAGCTCCTCTCGTGGGCATGTATCCGCCTCGACCGTCTCCGTCCCGGCTTCCGCTTCATCAGGCTCATGGACACCAAGAACAGGCCGATTGAAGGTGGCAAGCTGCTCGTAAAGATCGACAAGGTGGTGCGGTAGAGACCCGCGCGTCCCGTCCGTCCGTCTGTATTATCGTATACCGTACTCGGCCTACGGGCAGATGCGAACATGCTGTGACGCACGATGTGGCAGACATACTAGCAGGGAAAGCTACTATTTTTTTCTCCTTTTGTTCCCTTTTTTCCTCTGGGTCTGTGGGTTTGTATGGGAGGCTCTGATACCTTTTTTTTTTTTTTTTTGCATTACACGGTTGGCTGATTGGGCGTTGACATGGCGTTCATTCATATTATGCTTCTTCTTTCCTTTCTCGAGGCAAGCGATACCTATTCCCCCCTGCTGCAACCTAGAGTTTCAGGTCTTTTTTTCCTATCAAGCCACCTTTTTCTTTTCTTCTATAATTTCCTTTTCTCTCTCTCTCTCTCTCTCTCTCTCTGAGCATACGCTGTAAGCCTGTAGGCGGCACATTCCGGGAGGCTCCCTGTGTGTCTCGGGGAGTTTTTGTACTGTTTTGATCGAGAGGCAAAATTGAGACTTGGATGGAAAACAACGGGAGAGACAAGACAGGTCATCTCAGTCATGAGAGGTCATTTCCTTATTGTTAGGGATGGGCGGTGGTGGTGGTTTGAGAGAAGGAAAACCCTCTCTCGATGAGGTCACAAGACTGCTGAGATAGCAAGAATATCAAGAAACAGGATTATACGTCGGTTGGGAAAGGATTGTCTCAAGGTCACGGAGATAAGACACGCACACACACATCCACACACATCCACACACACACACACACACATGAGAGACAAGACAGGGCGCAAGAGGACGAACAGTACACATACAAATCTACAAACCTGTGGGGCGCCGATCTTGACGCAGAGAAGCGCGAGGCGGGATGGAACTCAGATACCGCACCATACGTAGTGGAGAGGGAAAATAAAGAATCCAAGGGATCTCACCTACACATCTAGACTCCGTTTTTGGGGGGCCAGAGACCACCTAATCCGTGTATGTCGTCCCTTCCGTGTGACAATTCTTGTCTCTTATGTCAACGGCTCCCTCCCTAAACGGTCTCATTTGTTGTCCAAAGTGACCGGATCTGGGGGGAACATGTGCTGGCCATCCTGAAGCTTGACCGCCGCCCGCCGAGAAAGATCTGTCATATCAGAGTATTGACTTACGCGACTTGTGAGGATGTCCTCCTGTGTTGCTGTGTAGCAGTCAAATACGACGAGTTGTCACTGCAATGTAGACGGGAGCGGATACCTGCCAACTTTGTATCGGGAGATGCAGGACGGACAATGCATCTCGTCAATGGCGTGTCCGCCGGATCGCCAACCCATACCAACCTCTTTTTTTTTCCTCTGGCGTATTGTCTCTCTGCAAGGGTCATGACCATCAGGGTAACTGTCGGTTCCCATCAGCACGTTGTGGGACCATGAACGAGATTCTTCTTCTCTGCCTCACGTCGCACCTGGGCAGACGTGCTTCTTGTTTGTACGACGCCGAGAAGGAATACAATAGACTCGCGGACCAAGGGAATCTCTTTTCGAGGTTTAACGATATGATTCTCGAGACTGTGTAACCTGAAAAGAAATGTTTGATGACGGTGGAGGGTTCCGAGTTGACGGGGCATCATATCCGACCACCGGTAGACCCCGTTCCCTGCTGTCAACATCGGATGAAAAAAAGAATATCTTCCTCCTGCCGCTCTGTTGCCGCTTCTTCGACGGGAGTCGGCCCTCGTGGAGCCGCCGTGTAAGGACTCTGGCTGTGACTCCACCACCCGTTTTCGTGCCAAGAGGACTGACTGCAGTTGGACCTTTTTCTCGTAAAGGCAAGGTTCTAGACTGCTTCTGTCCGCCATGATGCGATGGTTGTCTGCGACAAATGAAGGCTCTCATGAACCCCACCCGCAACAATCTCAACCCCGGTTGAGGACTCAAAAGACGACGCTGCAGCCCTGCCCGGCTCTTGCGGCTTGGCACCGAAAGATGCACGATTGGCAACCCTTCCTGCCTGGATACCTAACCCGGTGGCAACAGTTGTGGGCTGCAGGCTCGGCATAAGGAAGCAAGCCACAGAAAAGAACAGATGAAGCTAAGCAGGAGTGCGTCGATCCCCAGGAAGTCTCAACCCGCTGTGGCGGGCGCGGTGGTATAGCCAAAGGCGAGGCCTCGAAAGTGTGGCCGTTGGTCGTGAGACAACTCATAACGTAGAAAAAGAAAGACTGTTCCAAAGTTGTCCAATGAAGCCATTTCATTTTGCATGTCTGTAAGACAAAAAGGAATAATGGCCGTCATGTGCAATCATAGTACCGGACTAGATGATATCTGGCGCGGCCCGACAGTAGACAGCTTATCACTTATCACCGAGGATACATTTGCCGGTGCGACTGATCCGACCAAGGGGGATCGTCGCGGATCAAGCAGCCTCGGCTGCAGGTTTTGGGTAGGCATCTCGACAGTCCATCCCCTGGAGCCGTCACGAAGAAGCCAGGACCACTTTGTTCAACTCGTAGCCATCGGAAGTTGGTCATCTCCCTATCCGCCTATCTGCAACGAGTACAAATGTCGCCGAATTAAAGTTGACAGTACTATGGCTTGATATTGAGACAGGCGATTGGTGGTTACCTGGCGTTGCGGGAACTAGGGCGGTGTAACAAGGCTATCACCAAGCGCCTAGCCCTTGAGTAACAACAGGAGTTGGCCCTGACAAAGGTGTCCAAAGTACCTAAAGTACGTATGCAAAGGGCAAGGGTTCGGCAAGTGAGACACGCGTTTGTTCTGTTAGTTGGGAATGTCGTTTGGCGGGGGCATCATCGAGATCTCTCTCAATCTAAAAGTACCGTTGGGGATTGAGCCTCTGGACACTGAATAGTGATGAAAATGCAACAACCCGCCATTGCCTCTCGGTTTTGTGACTGGCCATGAGGTACACTGGCCGGTTTGCTGCGGGCGGTTCCGACAGTCTGGTCGACTAGCTAGGTATGCCTGTCGTCCATGAGCATGTTACCGAGCTTTTGGTGTTTTCCATGGAGATGATCAGGAGATTGAGGGAGGGATCGTTCGTAGATCTGATGGAGCTTCGAAATGGGGCTGTCTTGAGACTTGGATCCCAGTCTTGCGTCAATCATTACTCTCTCAGCTTCGCCCAAAAAGCGGTGATTACCATGTGTCAGGAAGCTCGAGTCCAAGATTTGGGGTGGCAAGCTATCAATTAGGCCATGAACAATAATAGCCAAACGAGGAGACGAAACAGTTGCAGTCCCTATTGAGGATTCTAGCGGCTATCGTTTGGCGTTTTGATGAGACATAAGCTCATCGAAGCTAGACGCTGCCAAAACATCATGTCTCTCCGGTTGCTTGCAATTGTAATGCAAGCACCCTCACCGCAAGGGACTCGTCGTTAGTGATATGCAGTCGTGGAATACGCGAACGAATTGCTGAAAAACTGTTTGTGCTCGTGCTTGGTGCCAGCTCCAGAGCAGTCAATGGAATGTTTTGACAGGCAATACTGGTGCAGCCAAGTTTCCCAAAGCAAGGGCGGTAGCTTGAGTAGCACAGTTGTGCTTAACCTAGACACTCCCGGTTGAATGCGATATGCTGGTCGTACTTCCCGACAGCAGAGCCTCTCGAAATCTCGCAAATCGCTGCTGCCACGTCTTTGCAAGAAGAAGATTGCCGCTCTTTTCCAAGACTTCACCATCTTTCGAGCGCGACCAGATCGTAGAGTTGTTGAATAGTGATCGCGATGGAGGGAATGTCTTTGAATGGGCGGGCACTGAGGCTTCGCAGCCGTAGATGTAGTCAATGTGACAGATCACTTTCCTCTGCTCGATTGCAGTCTCCTTGAAATTAGAAGCGGAGGCTGGGGCAATGCCGGGCATGTACCGATTTTCGATGAGAGACTGACTGATCGACCGCGCATCTCGTCTACGAGATGACAGGTCACATCGGCCTCTTGGTATGCTTGACGTCCACGCAGAAGGTGGGCATTGAGGCACCCAAACGGCCCCCGAATCTGACATTGAATATCCGTAGCGTTACGCACAAAGCTGTCTGCACGAGTATGCAGGTCGAATGTTGGAGGCGTCGACTGCCGGATAAAGGCCGCAGGAGGTGTGTTGGTACGTCGGCTAGAGGTAGTAAACACTGACCAGTCGTTGACACTGGTTGGAGGCTCAGAGCGTGCGTGTTGTGTGTTCCGCTAGTGGTGGTCACAAATGACAATAATGATATTTCGCCGAGAACAATTGACACGTCGATTCGCCTGCTGGGTATTTGAAACCAAGATGTGTGAGACACGATATTGTATTATGGTGCTCCTGGGTCGGCGCCAGCTAACATTGTCGATTCACATTTCGGTGACGATGGAATCGGGATTTCTGAATCCAGACCCTTCGATGATTGTCGGTGAGTCTGCCCACATGCATTTTGAAGTTGGCAGGGCATTGAATGGGTCGGTGTGGATTAAGTCACACCTAGCCAGGGCGGGACAAGCCGCGACACCATACTCATCGATCAACGACTTCGCTCCAAGCACAAAGTAGTTGCACACCTCCCTTGTTTGATGGAGGTTTGGTGGCAATATCTCCGGCACACGGCGGCACGTCTGCGAGAACAGTCGGAACGACAGCCGGAGGCCCGAAAACGTATGATCTCGTGTCTTTCGGCAGGGCTGGTGTTATGGGGTGAAATGCAAAGACGTTGGAAAAGGCCACTGCGACGTCACATTGTGTCCAAACCTTGGCACATGTGTCAAGCCTCGTTCGCGTCGCTTGGACCAAGGACGGGGCTGTGGTATCACGCATTCATCTTTTCGCGGCCTCGTATTGCGGCCTCGTCACACCGCGGTAACGACGAGTAGCGTGTGCGCACCGTAGATCGCGGGATGTGATGGACGGCTGAACGTCAAAGTCTACGCGGCCGATCACGGTGCGACCACCTCGAACCAGCTTGCTGGGATGAGGCTAGGCTCCTGCCTCTTGCAGTAGTCGGTGAGCTGTGCAACAACCAGCAGCGCCAGGCCGGTAGGTATTGTGGTCGACGTTGGAGAGGGTGTGTCAGGATTGTCCACGTTTCGAGGTGTAAGTCCATCCACTGGAGCAGCGATACCGCGAACGATGAGCGAGATCCCGCTAGCCTCGAGTTGGACTTCCGTTCGACGAGCAGAGACGATGCCAGATATTCACGTCCCCAACAGACCTCCACTGGGGGACTCTCGTCGTTTCCGTCGAGCCGAGCTGCTCTTTGCCCCTACTCACGATAGCTAGGTAGTTGGTGGGTGCGGGCACGGTGCGGAAGGGACGTTGAGGACACCGTTGACCTCTCAGTCCAACGACAGAGCCCATGGCCATTTTCGATCGATGCGTAGGTGAGTTGTTGCAGAACAGGACGCTAAGGAGCCTGGGATGAGGAGAAGGGAAAAGAGAAAAGCAATTATGGACAAGGGAGCCCGCAAGTTCGTGGAGCAGGGACTAAGAGAAGAAAGCGGACTTGTGCGTCGAGTGGAGACATTTGAGTGGGATTTGAACCAAACGCGAACCTAGGGACCCATGAGAAAAGAAAGAATGGAACGGATTGTTCCATCAGAAAAAGAGAGCGGAAAAGTAAATGTGATTTGGCGAAAAGAGAGCAAAGCGTTGCCGCGGCCGGGTGTTTGCAGCAGGACAGTTGCGGAAAACTCGGAGGGTGAGCCACAGAGCGCATTTCCATGGTCGTACGTTTCTAGCTTGGAAGAAATGAAGGGATAGCCAGGTAAGGGGTGGAAAGAAACCAAACGTAAAAGTAGCCTTGGTATCTTTGACATTGAAAGGAAAGAAATGATGTAGGGGAAATGGGGACCTGATGTTTGCTAGAAGTCTCATTCTCTTGCCGTAGTTGGATCCACTGCGGTTTGCGAGCTCAGTTTCCTCAGGGCATGCAATCAGAGATAGGAGGGGGGGAGCTACGGGGGGAGGGAGCGTAAGGTAAAGAAAAGAAGCAGCAGCTGACGCAAGGAACCACATTCCACGCTTTGAAATCTCGGTAAAACTAAGAAAAAAGACTTTGATGTCGATGATCGACCCCGGATCGTGGTTTAAATTCTTGGAAGTTTGAACTTCGCGCTCGCGGTACGTACAGTACACCCGCACTGGTACACACTTTCCCTTCCAAGTTGGTCATTGCAAGTGGAGATACAAGATACTTGACGGAAGCGACGTGGAGGCAAGAGCTCTCTGCTGTGACACAGAAAAGAGGCAGGTCGTATTTTCCTTCTTTCTCAACCTACCGTAGGTAGTGTACAGATATGTGTCCATCGAGGTTGACGGATGTACGTACCTACATGCAGGAGAACGACTCGGCATATCTTTATGCCTTCTCTTTTTTGGTCCCCTTTCCCCTCGTAAGCGTGAGAAGCGACAAGAGAAGAAACAAACCCCTCCTGTGCTTTCTTGGAGATTTGACGCGGGGGTCCCTTGGTTCTCTTGTCGCCTCTCCCTTTATGCTTTGCTACACACGTGTTGGCCCCGCTTGAGTGCATTCTGGGCAGGGTTAGGCAGGAACTGAGGGGCTTCAACGACGACGTTCCTAGTTTGATTAGTGTACGAAGTACGGATACTTCTCATATCGGAGGAGCTGAGCTGAGCCAAGCCAGAGCGAGAGAGAGCTTGCGCGCTGCATCGGAGCTTTCAGCCCTGACGCTTAGCAGTTAGTTCTGGGCGCTTTTAGACGACGGTCCAGATTTCACCATGTGACGGGAATGAATGATGATCAACAAAATTAGAAAAAGCTAGACAGGGCTGGGAAATTCGAACCTGGGGGTGGGTAATGGGCTGGGCTGAGATTCAGACGCAGTAGTCTAAGGTATGGACACTCACACTGGTGAGATACGGTCGACCTGAGGTTCGAGATTCAGCTCGAGTCAAGGGCTATCCCCGAAAAAGAATATGGATATCAAAGGCACAAGTGGGAGGCAGTTATTAGTCAGAAGGCGAATTGCGCAAGAGTGACGGAGGGTGAGGTAGGTACTTCGTAGGCAAAAAGGAAGGCCATCGATCCAAGCGATACATTGTCGAAATGCGAAGAAAAAGGTGGGTATCGGATCTGGTTACATCTTAGCCCTGGGATCTAGGGAAGCAGGGGCGATGGCTTCCGCCTCCACCACCGCCAGTACTTCCTTACGAGTGACCACCGGGAGGGTAACGAGGTCGCACAACTAACCTCTATCTATGGAGTACATCGACAACCGCAGCGGTTGCAAGATCCATCGGCATGCAGCCTGGGTCAAGCAGAAAAAGATCCTGGCATATATGTGTATGTTTGTGCGTGTGTGCGTGTCAGTTGAAGCAGAACGTACATGATTGGAAAGAACAAAGTGCGATATGTGAGGAGATGTTGGAGATGTCGGAGATGTTGAGCGAGATCCATGGATGCAGCAAAGGTGTCATGGTGGTGGTGTGTATGGTTGTAACTTGTAACTTGTGTGTGTGTGTATGCTCGCCTGCACAAACCCATGGGCAAGCCACCAATCGGGCAGCCGCCGGCCACAATCACGGTAGGTACGGAGTACGCAGTCAAGGTAAGGTGAGCTTCACCAGCCGCGATAACCCCTCCCCTCCCACAACCTCTCCCAAAACCTCCCACCCGGGCCCCCGAGAGGAGAGGAAAAGAAGCGCCACTCAGCCCCCCCGGATGAACCAATAGGGTCATCCGAACAAAACAGGACCAGGGTCGTTGTCATTCGTTCATTGCTTTGCTGCTATCCCAAACTCTCTCACTCTGTCTCTACGGAGCATCTGTACCTTGGGAGCTTCTCTCCAGGGTAGGTAGGTCAATGTCTGGGCTATCTTTTTTTATTTTGCGACAAGCTATCCATACTAATCATTTTTTTGTTTTTACGACTGCTCACAAATCCCATCCCAGGAATCCAAATACCCCGGCTTGCAGAAAAGGAACATAATCAACTTTGTTGGGACTTGGAAAGCAACAATTAGATTCTCTTTCGTTTTGCATTTTGCGCCCCCCTCCCTCCTTCGTTCTCGCAGGAGAGATGAACGAGGTTCTATCACTTTTCCCGTCACCTTTTTTTAGCCGGCAAACAGAGTTTACGGTACAGCTTCCTCCCGGGATTATCATCACCTCGTGCCCATCAAAAGGAGTCACTGGGAGTCAGTGCTCCGAACGGGTAGCCATACAAGCCCTTCCCCGGCGAGCATCTTCCCTTGTGGACGTTTGACACTACCGTTCGACCCGTTCGCCTTACAGGCTTACTTAGACACACACACTCACTCACTCACTGACACACGCAAACCACAGAAGCTATATGTCGTCTCTTATTGGATCTCCATTACCTTATTCATCTCGACGCAGTAGTTCGCACCTGCTAAAAACAGGAACTAGGTAGGTTGGACTTATTACGTGCATTTCGCCATGCCCATCGGATTATCCCAACAACGTGCAATCCAGACATTCTCCAAACTTTATTGTGCCTTCGTTGGCAATCTGCATTGCTACTGCAACTTGGTTCTGCTCTCTGTTGCAGAGGATTACGAGGCCCCCTTTCGTCGTGGTTGAATTATTCCAGCCACAATCCAGCCCACAGTCCCGTTTCCCCTCCTCCCTCTCTCTCACTCTCACTCTAGTGACCTAGTCCCCGTTGCGGGCGTTTACCAAAGCAAACGGGCACGCGATAGTATTTGCGATGGACCCAAGGCATTTACTTACCACACTTTTTTATTTTTCCCTTTTCCGCCGCCACCCCTCCCTTACCTAAACTTGCCATGTTTCTCTCTCCTCTACCACAGGCGAAGAAAAAAAGCCAATTTGAAATATTGTCCGAGCTACCTTAGTGCCAACCAAAAAGTATCGCGTTCTCGCTTTCGTTGGTGTTTCGTCATACCCATCCGCGATGTGGAGTCCATAGACCGATCTTCCCCCTCCTCTAAACCACCCCCAAAAAGGAAGCGCTAGGGTAAGAAGAAGAACCATGGGAAGAGAGGGGGACAGAGAGCCGTTTGAGCCTCCACGTCGGTTCTAAGGGGGGGGGGGGGGTTGCGACAATTCTGCAGGGTATTTCCGTTGGCTGCCGGATACATGCAGTTCAGAGTAAAGGAATCCATGGGGAGGGTCAGCTCCATGGGACAACATGGGACAACATGGGTCATTGTATGAAGTGTAATACGGATACACTATTACAGAGTTTCCCAAAGTCTTTGCTTTCTCCGCTCATACGTGCGTTACTGGGAAAAGTACGGAGTAAAGAGAGAGAATACCTAGATATGGGGAGGGAAGGGGGAATACCGGGGGGGGGGGGTTCTTTCACGAAGGATACCTTAACCTTGCCATGCTTCAATGACTACGCAGTACTTACACCACATACACAGTAATGGACTCCCCTCTCTTTTTCTTTGCTGCAAAGTCACACAGCACAGAGAAGGAATTCCCCGGCGCGGAATCCCGGGGCAGATCGAACAGAGCTCTGGAACATCCACTCATCTGGGTTATTCTTCTGCTCGCTCCCTGTTCGAATGTACCCCTGCTTGCACTAGCCTGGCGATCGACTGCCCGCCAGGGGCCAATGAGCAACCCCGGGGGGGCATGGCCGCATGTGCATGGGGGGATTGGGATTGGGGAGAAGGGGGGGACCATCCGGATTTACATGGTTTAAGGAAAAGAGAGAGAAAGAGAAAGAGAACGAGGGAAAGAGAGAGAGAAGGAGGTGTGTGTGGTAGAAGAATAATGAGTACTACCTAGGTAGGTAGGTAGCTGGCATCATAGCGCTTCTGCCTCACACCTTTGCTTTCCATTACTTCTTCCCGTGTGATGATGCCCTGGTATGATGGTATGTAATTCCAAACAAGGAGGATTCGGGGATATAAGAAAACGAAGAAAAACATGGTAAAACAAAACAACAGAATAAAAACCAATCAACCAAAACTCCGTCCATCCCTCGGGCCAGGCACCCAGAGGAGCCGCCGCCAGCCGAGCCGTGTCCCCCGTTTGGAGACTCGGAGCACCTCATGGCTTTTCATGGCTTTCATGGCTTGAGCTGGTTCGGCTCTCTGTCTTGTCTTACCACGAGTCCACGACACCACAAAGGAAAGAATGAATTTACAAGTGAAAGAACGGGCTTTTTGGTTTTGCCATAGAGCAAAGTGCCATCCTCGCACAAACTCCCCTTCACCTTCTTCTTCGTCTTCGTCGTCTTCTTCTTCTTCTTCTTACCCCCCTCCCCCTCCCCAGAGACAAGAAACCCAGGAGCTAGCTCTACCTAGTCACGCCAAGCCAAGGAAACATACATACAGACAGATAGGCAGACAGGCCACAAAAAAAAAAGAAGGAAACAAGAGACACACACCCGGATGCATGTACACGCAACTACCTGCGCTCACACAAGCAGCCTACGGCACACCACGCACACATGCACACACACAAACGAAGCGTGTATGTACCGTACCTTACGGTCGTTCCCGATGAACAATTCTTCAGCCATCACCATGGGGCCTGGTTCCACCCCACCTTGCCCCCCTCGAACAGAGTACCTAGAGTGATCCCAAGGTATCCATCCACATCCCCCATCGTTCAGATCCTTGTACCCATGCCTATCCTGGCAACCTGGTTCGCGCCACCGTCGTTCATCGCTGAACTGCCACTGATACCTACGCCTCCCGGGGGGTCTCTCTGCTAGTCCCGCACCAGAATGTGATATGTGCCATGTTCTGCACTGTACCGGTCTACCGGCCTGTTTGGTTTCTTTTGCTGCTTGCTACTTTTCTGCTGGCGGCCTTCCGCCGGTTGCTCGCCGATTTGATTATTATCAGATGGCACTGCCATATTTTCTTCTTGCACTAGTAACCAGAACAGGGACTTGGAACACCCGCTCCCGCCTTGAGCGAAGTCTCCCTCGCTGTGCCTACCTGGTCCTTGCCGGTCTCGACGGCCCAGCTAGCGAGTGCTTTGTCCTTGTCGTGCGATTTCAAAGGAATCTGCCAAACTATAAGTATCGACGGTTGCCGCCTGGAGTTCTCTCGCCTTGTCCAGATCGCCATCATCGGACATTTTACAGGTTCAAAGGAACATCAGGTTGACGCAACCAAACTTCAACCTCCATCAACAACACATCGACTTCGAGTCCAACCCCAACCGACCAAACCCCCACCACACCTCTGCGAATCCGAATCCAGATCCCACGAACCAGAACCACACTTGACCAACCAAGTTCGCCATCACATCTCGCCAACATGGTCTACTCAAACCACTGCCAGGTCGACAAGACCGCTTTCCGAAACCAACAGAAGCCATCGTCGTCTTCTAAGAGCGGCTCGAAACAGGTGAGTGTGCATGGCTGCACCCCACGTCCACGCAGGGCCCGAATTAACTCTCTTTTCTCAGCACCTTCTCCCAGGCATTCGCTGCCCTACGTGCCATGCCTCAGGTAAAGAGGTGTGGGTACTACCCGGAAAAGAGTGCGGCTACTGCGGCACCCCCTGCGGCTAAGACAGCTCATGTGAGTTCTCCAACTTGTTCCCGCGTCATTGCAAAGATGTGGCGGTGAGGCTGACTCTTGTACAGCGCTGAAATCCCCCGATCAAGAGTCATATAGCTGGGACTGCGATGCGATATTGGGAACCACCAAAACAATTACGATACCCCGGGACAACGGCGAACGGCGACACACAAGGGCTATAGATTGAGGGATTGTGTGCGAGCGAGAATGAGATGACCAAAGGGGGTTGTGCTTGTTCGAGTACGAGGAATTCTTTTCATATTTTTTTTCTTCCGTCATTTTTTGGGTTTATTGGAGGAAATGGGAAAAAAGGGGGCAGATCAAAACCGATGAGTGGGCCAATCTGGGTACTGGCCCTGTAATGTTAACGAGCCATGTCTGTCCGATTTTCAGATCGGAATGTACACTTGGAGGGGTAGAATGGGCGGGAGATGGATGAGCAGAGGGGGGAGAACAACATGGGCAAACCAACTGGCGCTTAGGCTTGGGCCTGGAGGGGGAGTTTGGAAATGTAATGGTAGCCGCTTTCGGCATACTTGCTTCAATCAGACACCATACAGGTTCTTTATTTCGTTTTCGCAACTCGTTTGAACCTTGACTGTTTCGAATCGGAATCGATGTCAGAGGTATGGATACGGCGATGGGACTCGAGTGGTGTGTACCCGGTACAGGTTCCACCCTCGATCTTGGGACCAAGAACGGAGTATTCAGATGCAGGCCGACGACACCTGTATGGACCGGAGCACATCGCATGGCCCCGATCGCGACAGTGCCGGACGGGACGCGTTATGTGGCTTGCTCGGAGATAACACCGGGGGTGTGGTATTGGCTGCTGCTGAGTCCGTTTTTGCGACGAATGGGCACAGTAATGCCTGTCGTTGCATGGGGGGAAACCCGATCCCCTGATGTGAGTATCGGTCAAGATCGAGGTGGTATCGCAGTTGGAAAGGGGAAAGAGACGATGAGTCGAAAAGCAAAGAGGTACTTTGGCACTGGATATCAAGTGCGGATTAAGGTAGCAGTCTCTCTGAACAGAGTATCGCGTTGGATGGAAACCTGGCAGGCGAGGGCGATTCTCATGACCATATTCAGCATAAGGTTGCGAGCTGCATCTTGTGCAGGCCCTCGAGTGATGACAAGTCGTTTCTGGACTGCGGCGCGGGGCATCGTAGCTGTGTCTGTAGCTGCGGACCGACGGGCTACAACGGGGATGGGGAGGTCGGCGTGGAGGACGGAAACAGTGGTGATGCATGGCGGACCTCGGGCTTGCGTGGGTTTAGGTGGTTGTGTTGCGATCAGGTCCCCTATCAGCCCAATCGGTCCCGATCCCACGGTTCCACTGACACACACAGCTGTAAGGGAGCTTGGAGTTGCCAGCTGGGTCAGACTCGTTACACCAAACGGCGTGCAGGACGCACGAGTGGACGTCCTGCAATACTCGACAGGGAGTTCAGAGGCCTGTCAAAAAGCAGGGCCGGCATCCAGGAAGGCGCATTCCAGCTGAGATCCAGGTCCATGTCCCTAGCTTCGTAGCGTCCCAGCATGTCTTGCTCTCAGGAATGACTGTGAGCGAGATGGCAAGAGTCATAGTGTGGGTTGCCGGGTCTCTGACAGATCGTGACGGATCGTGACGGGGTCCTGAAAAGCCGCCTTGCGGGAGATGCCAGTGCCTGGGTTGGCAAGGGAAAGATGAGGATTGTACGGGCGGCCATGTCTCTCATCGTAAGACATGCAAAACCGTCATAAGTGACAGCACGGGTAGTCCTGGCCTAGATGCCATGGATTTGTTGCGCGGCGAAGACTCCCTCCAGGTTGGATAGCGCTAGGCTGTGCGAAGGTCGAATCGGTATACTGAATCGCAGCGATGAGCAGAGTAAGGTGTTGATTGGATGCATCATATGACAAGGCAGGGTATGTCTGCAAGCGCTGGTGATTTGTTCAGGGGTCGGCAAGCTGAGTTGGACGAGGAAGAGGAGGAAAGGAAGGGTAGCTACTACACCGGTGTGAAGAGACGATGCTTGGCAGTGTTCACCGTTGGTTTCGGAGGGACGTCAGGCCTCAGCAGTGAGCACTGTGAAGTTCCATTGCAAAAGAGAATGAAGGAGTGGAAAAGTGACAGAAGAAATGGCGGCCAGAGCTGGTGGAAGAAAGGGAAGAAAAAGCAAGGATGGATTGAGGCTGCCTTGGGTTGAGAAGTTGAGAATTGACAACTTCTTCGATGGCACCTGCTGTCTGGTGTATCAACTGCCTGATTGGCCCGCGTCTCGAATACGCTCCTCCCTCACTTTCCGATCTGAAGCACTGGTCCCCACCTGCCTGCCTCACTCTCAATCGCAACTTCTTCATTCATTCTTCAAGTGAGTTGTGAATTGTGAGCAAGATTCATTCACGTGAGCTGTCGAAACCGAGTGGATACGGAGTACGGAGCACGGGAATCCGCACCTTTTACCTGAGAATGGAATTGCCTGCCGCCGGGCCATGGGGAAAGCATGCACGACAGAAAGCCCAAACACAATTTCAAGTCGGAGCAACTCGAAGAAGAACGACAATCTGCACTACCTTGAGATGGGACCCAGGACCCAGGACCCTGACAAATATCTCATTTGTTTTCCCCATCACCTTTATTTATGGCAACGGAGTCCATCTCCTCCAGGGTCCTGCTGTACCTTGATCAGATATGCAAACCTTATCATTCGGGCCCGCAACCGGGCACTCTGGACGGAACAGTAGTGGATCTACGGGTTTTCTCTGAGATAATCTTAGCACTCACTGTCAAACAGGAGAACTCGAAGCTCAAGATGGGTATCAGTCATGGGAAGTTCTTGACCCGAAGAAAAGCAATGGAAGATAGATGACCAGTAGAATCAAGTCATAAATGTGAGCCACCAATCTCGCGTGAATGTCATCGTCACCCCCGATCTGCTCCTACCAAAGTGTGGCCAGTGTGGAAGTCGTCAATAGCCCGTTTCGGAGTTGACCTATCCTGGTGCTCTGGGATGTCGTCGCTCTCCAGAGGTTGTCACTGCTTGTTTTAGTTGAGTTTGTCCTTATTAAGGGAGTTGTTTCTTCTTGAACTTGGTCCGCCATGATGACACTTAGTCTTCGATGCCCAGCAATGCAGCAGAGACGTCAATCGCAGGGCTGTCAATTCCATTATTCTCGAGTGTCCCAGGTATTTGTTCTCGAATTGTTCCTTATTCCTGTCTCAACCGCCTCGTATTCGTGAACCAGGCTTGTCGACCCCACAAGGAAGAAACAGCCATGGGCCGACTTGACGCGGAATGGTGTGCAATGCCCACGAGTGTAACGAGTTGCAAGTTGCAACGACCCGTCAGTCAGATTTAGACTCTCGACAACGTGCGAGCGAATCGAGCATCGACATTACGCTCCCGTCCCGTCCTGCCGTCATCCAGCCTGGCCATCTGCTCCGGTTCCGCAGCCAACCACGGCAGGGCAAAATCCAACGGCTCTGGTTCCCATTGGCGTAAGGTATTAATGTATTTCCCCCTTCCACTGTCCAGGCTGTCTTAGGTTTGGGCCTAAAACCCCGCAAAAAGGTACAGATGAGCGTCGAGGTCGGGCAAAGTACCCTGCCATACAATTACGTGCGGAGAGTGACCTTTCCCCGGCAGCCGCGACATGCCAATTACTGTGCCCGCAATGCGGCCATGCCCGTTCAGTGTTTCTTGCCCTGCCCACCGCGGGCCTTCCCCCAGAATATGAGCTCGCTTGCTCCACTTTGCTGCCGTCCTCAGGTAAACTTCCCCCGCCACTTCCCGGTGCCCAATTCCCTGATGCCGCTGTCGTCGCAAGACTTGCGCAAAGAGCCTCTGCAGCTCATCATCAATTCTACCTAACTCAATCTAACCTCCGGCCCCATCTACATCTTCCTCTTCCTTCCCGCCCACCGTTCGCCAAACATATCATGAACGGCATCGACATCCTTTGCGATGCCGCCGGCTCTGACATGCTGAACCCCCTCTATTCCCCGCCGGAACTGCCGAAACAATCGGCCCAACCTTTACCCCAACAGCCCGGCAAACGCAAACTGAGCACATCAGACACCTCTCCCTCTTCGACACATGTATGTCACATATGCAAGCGCGTGTACGAGCGGGCCGATCATCTGACGAGGCATCTACGCTCTCATGAGAATGCTCGTCCCTACCAGTGCTCCCGCTGTCCCAAGCGATTCAATAGAGCCGACCTCCTCACCCGCCACGAGACAACCCACGACCGGGATAATACGGGCAAGGGTAGAACCTTCATACGGAGGAGCGACCGAGCTGCCGAGGCGTGCCTGAATTGTGCCGCTTCCAAGTCAAAATGCGAGGTAATCCCCATCTGGAAAAACTATAGTCCCGCCCAAAGGTACCAGTAGACTAATACACGTGTAGGATGCCAAGCCATGCTCTCGCTGTCGATCCAAGAATTTACCATGCGAAGTCCCTTCGAAGCGAACACATCCTCACCGGACGTCAATCGATGGCGCTTCCAGCCCTTCCGAGACATCAACACTGCATATGAGCGTCGACATGAACGGCAGCATGGACACCGGCTCCGTCTATACGGCCTCCAAACTGGTCATGATGCCACCAAACCCCGATATGAGCCATGATTTGGACGCGTCCTCCTACATGGACGATGGCTTTTCGAACCCTGTCATTGACATGGTGATGGATGATATTGTCAACTTCAATCCAGTACACACGTACTTCCAGGACATGGACTTTTCCTCATGGGACCTAAACTTCGATGCCATAACCATCCCACAACCTGAGATCAATCAAACCCCCGAATCCACCACAACCAGTCGGTCAAAATCCAACACAAGAAATGCGTCAAAAGCACACGCGGCCTTCAAAAGGTCGCCTTGGCTGTGGGAACCTGGGCCAAAGGATTACGCGCTGCATCATGCGTCACCGCAGGACAAGGAGCAGCTCATCCTTGACAACGGTACCTTTGCTAATTCTCCCGCTTTCGACAAGCTCATCAACACTCCGGGCACAAAGCTAAAGATGACGTCCCTCTCAAGAGACAGTCTCCTGGCCATGGTGGTGGCCAGCACAGTCTCGAAGGGCGGTCGCACACGAACGCCATCTTTTCCCTCTTTGGATCTCCTGAATTATCTCGTGCAAGCCCATTTCATCCACGATGAACACCAGAGCGATAGTTGGATTCATCTGGCGACGTTTGATGCTGCTGCTGCTATTCCAGAACTACTTGCTGGTATTCTGTCCAGCGGTGCTACGTATATTTCCATTCCTGCTGTGTGGCAGTTCGGGTTCTCGCTACATGAAGTACTCCGGCTTGGGCTGGCCGACTTGGTAAGTCGATAGCCCCCTTGACCATCTGCCTAGCAGCGAATCGTTCTCTTAACATTGACTAGTTCGAAAGCTCAAACTCTTTCACGCGAGAACTTGCCGCACTCCAAGCATTCATGCTCAACCTAGACATAGGCATCTGGAGTGGCTTCAAGCGAAAGATGGAGATCGCGGAGAGCTTCCTGCAGCCTCCTATGACCATGCTCAGACGTGCAGGAAACTTCTCGGCCCCGCCAGACTCTTCGGTCATGATCCCAACGATGACAGACTCCCCCGAGGTCCTCGACTCGAAGTGGCGCAAATTTGCGAAGCGTGAATCTTACAAACGCCTTGTTTTGCACATGTTTTTTCACGATATTCAAACTTCTATCGGGTTCTGCAAAAATCCACTAATGTCTTATACCGAACTCAACTTCAGCCTTCCTGCTTCTCGAGATCTATGGAGAGCACGATCCGCTGAGCAATGGAGGAATGTGTATGTTGCCAAAACAAACGCAGCCTCAGATCGTATCATTCCACGTGTATCAGAAGTGATGCACTGCACTGAAATTCTGGACGAATTCGACCAATTGGTCGATACAGAATTGTGCTACATGGCCTTGCTACATGGCTACTGGGGCCAAATAGCGGCGTATCGTGAAGCCATCAAGTTCTATGCTGATGGTCTCTCGAGCAAGAGGAATGCGACCCACCGCCTGTGGCTCAAAACACAATACCAGGAGCTCTACCGAGATTTGAACGACTTTTCAACCATGATACTCACATCAAAGCGGCCCACAGCTCAACTTGCAGTCATGTCAGAGCTTTTAATGATGCTCCTACACGTGTCTCCCGACATCTTGCAGACGTTTGCTGGCAAATCGGGAGAGGACGAAGCCCGCAGGACATATACCAGCCTGGAAGACAGCTGGGTAAGGACATCCGAGGCACGTTACGCTATATGGCATGCCGGTCAGATTTTTCACCATGCTCGTCAGCTTCCACCTGCGTCGCTGCGCGAATTCAATGCTATCGCCGTGTACTACGCATGTCTCACGCTATGGGCATATGGGTTGCTGTCATGTTCGGCATCTAGACATGGTTCCGAACAAGAAGTTGGAAACGGTATGAGCAACAGCAGGTCTACATCGGGATATACGCTGATGGATTCGGACGAAAACCGGGACACGAGAGCTTTTCTCCAGCTTGACCGTGGAGTGCCTGGGATCACCATCAACGGAAACCCTGCTGATGGCGTAGAATCACTTTCCAATCCAAGCGTAGTTCTCTCTATTGCGAGAGACATTTTCCGGAACAACTTCCCAGTGGTTTCGGAACCTCTACCACCCTTGGTCGAGAGTCTACGGAGCCTGTTGCAGGACCTTGGCTCGGGGGCAGCAGGGCGACCTTCGCGGGCTGGGAGTTCGGATTTGTCATGACTTTCAGCAATGTATTCTTATCGACCTCGTCTGGCTTGTTCATTTTTCGAAATATTGGCTAAACAGCAGTATTACTGAATCAGCGAGCGATGTAAAGTTGGCTCGGACGGATGATCAATGGCATGGGATGGTGTTCATTGGGCAGGCATAGCGATAGCAGCCACATGTATTTCACAAAGTGATTTTAGTAGCGTCATTGTATGCAACGAATGATCCGAGAAACATCTCATGTGCCTCTGAAAGATATATTCGACTTCCTGGACTCGTACATGGTATAAACACTTTGTCCACAGCAACGCGGGATGTCTCTTTCGCTCAAGCTCAGAGGTGATGGAGCGGTAGGCGTATGTGTGACCACGCATTCCACGGCCCCGGTGATCGTCTCGGGGGCGGAGTGGGGACACGTGCGTCGTTCCGGACGGGTTGACGACGCTTGGGTGGGCACCTCGATAAGCGGAAGGAACATTCGAATAGGTTGGCCGAGTCTGGTGGTCTGAAAACGGCTCTAAATGATTCGAATTACTCCGTGGCAAAGACTCCGTCTCGTTTGTCTGCGGGTATTGACGCAATTGGGCTTGTTGTACGTTCCAGCTGGCTTCCGGTTCTTCAACAGAACCACAGCGAGGTGCATATCACGGCGTAGGTTGAGGTGGCTATTTTGACTATATTCATTAAGTTAGTAATATAATTTACGACGATGTATTCACGTTGTAGGATTCTCTTTCGGCTAGATTGTTTCGTATTAAGCCACAATACTTTGAGATACTGTTTTTCTGCCCCCTCCCCCCCAACCGGGACTTTGTACTCTATGAGCCACATCAAGAACTTTGAAGGTTTTTAACAATGTATACGTTGCAACCCAACCTCACTATAATATTCCTTCTAGTGCCGAAAGGGCCCGGTACTCGTGACGAGGGAAAATAGAAGAGCATCAAGCTTTAGAGGTAGTAGGGGCCGGAGAGTTGTGTCAGAGTTCTCAAGCAAGCATTGTAATACGGGTACAATAGCCATAAATTGTGGTCCAAGTTTCGTAGAAATGACAAGTAGAGAAAACAACTTATAACGGCCATGGCTTGGATATCCTCTCTAGCCTTGAAGTAGACGTTCCCACGTCTAACGCGGCCGGCATTTATCCCAACATCTCACATTGAGCGCAGCTCACACTTGACTTACCCGGGACAAGGTTTAAAATTTTATATCTCAGTCCCAGCTATTCCAAGCGTCTTGAAGATATGGAAACTCGCAAGATATATACTGCGGATCCTTCAAATCTCACCACCTGACTTCTCAGCTCGGCACCCTCCACCCCCCCCCCCCCAACACGCACACCCCCTCCAAGTTCGAGCCGCAAGTTATGTGAACCGACCAAGTTCACGCGATGAACGAGCCCCAGGTCTACTGCAGAATCTTGACGCACTGGAAACGTAGCCCGAGGCACCGTTCTCGCTCGAGTTTCACCTGTTGGACGCTTGCTTCCCTGGCTTTGGTCTGGCACGAAACTCATCTTGGTTGGATATCAGAGTTCAGCACATCCTTTTCAACCCCTCGTTTCCCTCCCCAGTTCAACATCAGCATGTCATACTTCACCTCACAAGATCCGCTCAAGATTCAATCTCGTCAATTCTCCACCTTCTCTCATGCCTCCACTATAGCGTGTTCATACCTCCCAAGTCCTCAGTGAAGCCTACACTTCCCCACCATCGACCGCACCGTCTGGGATGACCTGTGGTTTGAGAAGGGCCTGGCGTTGGGCGGCAGTGATACGGACAGTCTGTAGCGACCAGGCATCAGGTTGGAACCCCGAGCTCTCCCTCGCAAGGTAGGTACGCATAACTATTACTTCGTGACATCCTGACATATTGTACAACTGGCGAAGGTCACCACGCTGGGTTGTGCCCAGTTCGTTTGCTTGTTGGAGTCTTGCTAGTGGGAGTGAATGAAGTCCATGGAGGTCTTTTGCACGGCCGCGGATGGCATTACGATACAGATAACCTGTTCGAGTGGACAGAAGAATGGATATCAGCCAAGCCAATATCCTTGGTCCGGTGCTCTGTTGCCCCTCAGCGCATGACCAGTACATTTCGCTGGGAGGAGGGGGGGGGGGGTCGCTCGGGGGAAATCTTATGAAATATTTCATCACGGCAGTCCTTGAGCATAAGTCGTGTAGTTGGCAGAAGAAACCCGTGTATTTCTCCCAAAGCATGGGCGAGCGCTCATCAAAGATTGACAAAGGACAAGTTCAAAGATAAAGCGAGTATTCCCCATTTCCGATTTGAATGCCAGAAAAAAACCAAATAGTTTTTACGAATTCTGCAATACGCATTCGTTTGTCTCTTTATGCTTTCGTCGGGTCGGGAGAGATCAATCTACACACAGACAAACCCAAGTAAAACCACACCGGTAGGGGATTCCTCAAGCCGTCGTCGGGCGGAGGGAAACCGGAGGGATATGAGGGGCGTGATAAGATTTCCGAAACCACGACGGCATTTTGTCCCAAATTTCACCAATTTCGCCAACCACCCTTGAACTTGATTGTCCCGTCGATTCCACCCTCATGCCAGTGGTCCAGACGTTCCTAGAGTCGTATCGAATGCATATGGGAAGAGGAAGGCGCTTAGGAGGTAGGGTTGGGGTTCATCTAGAAAGCAGGCGGAGTCAGTCATCTGTAATCATCGAGAGTGAGGGGGTTCGTTATCGAAATCGTACCTTGCGCTTGCCTCCGGTGAGGGTGACGTTGACGAAACGGCGGGTGTATGTGAGTCTCTTCTTCGCGCGGCCCTTGGGGGTCTTCTTCTTCTCCTGGGGCTCAACCTTGGGACTATTGCAGTGGTCAGCGTTCGCGGTTCATCATTTCATCATCAAAAATAGCACAGTCCATCGCCCGGTCGGTTGTCGTTTCGATGGAAATTGAATTTCCGTGTCGTAAATCGTCGAATGAATAGTGTTGTTGTCCCTTCCTTTTCCCGACCGGCGTTCCTCCTCATCGTCGTCCGTGGTGACCAAAGTTTTCGTCGGTTTGCCACCCTCGATTCCCAGATGCACGGGGGGTATTTTCTGTTCTTGCGGATAAGAAAAAAGACTTACGTCTGAGACTTGACCTTTCCGGCACGCGCCAACGATCCGTGAACCTTTCCCATTGTGGCGGTTTGAGTTGCTGCTGTGGTGTTTCGGTGAGTTGGTTGTCGATGGAATCGAGAAGCGGGCTTGTCGTCTTCTGCGCGGGCAATGGGCGTCGGATTGCGTGGGAGGGTTGCGGGCCTGGACAATTTTGGGGGTTCGGTTCGTAATTCTGTGCGTCACGTGTAGCGAGTGGAGAAGGAACAGGGCGGGCGAGGGGGCTTGCCTTCTTTCTTGTACTCAGCCAGTCACCTTCCTTCATTTACCTTCGGCCCAATCCGGAAGAGGTGGTCCGGGCGGGAAATTCGGCCTTAGGGGTTAACATCGCAACAACATGAGCCACGCTCAGCGCTTGGTGGTCTGGGCTTCTGCAGTGGCGCTGGCGAGATGAATCATCGGCGAACCACCTGAGGTACCTCAGCTGAATAACATTCGTCACTGGTGGATACCGGTAACTAGGAGATATGATGGACTATGGTGACTCAGTCTGCCAGCAGTGTTTCCGCTATGACTGATAGAAGTATCTACTGTACTAAACAACCAATGTTTGATGATGTTTGCTTTCCCCTTACGCCAACTTTTCCGTTATCCATCTTCGCAGCCGTCCAATATTCGTACTCTACAGGGTATCTAGGCATGTTCTCGTGTGTATACATCGATCTTTCTTAGTAGCTTAAGCATTGTTGAGTCCCGAAGAACCCCACATCTGTTCTTCGCTCTTGGGGTCGGCGCAGTATCCATTGCAGGCCAAGCACTTATCCAACTTCTTGGACAGCATATCTTCCAACGATGCCGGGTGGATGATGAGATCCTTCGTCTTCAGGTTCTCGTCCAAGAATACATATGGGCCCCGGTAGTCGCTCTGGCGGATCTCGGGAAGGAAGGTAATGTTGTGAGGAGTGTTCTTCTTAGCGACTTCGGCCCACGCAGCCTTCACATCGGCTCCAATATGGAAGTCCCAGGTGCTCTCCCACGATGCCGTTGTCGACAATATCTCGACGGAGTAGCGGAAGACGGCACCTCCAAATTGGTCGGTCTTGTAGATCTCCAGCACCTGCAGTGCTGGCATGTGTTTCGCGGCGCTGGCGATCGAACGAAGGATGCCATTAACGGTTTCGTGGTCGATACCGTCAATCATCGTATGGGAGGTAAGCGCAAGTCGGCGGAGGTTGTTCCAGACGGGCTTGCGTGCGAGGAGGCCTTGAAAGAAGGCAGTTGCGTCAGAGACATTCGATACGGCCATCTCCTCGGCTTGCAAGCTGAGGAAGCCCAAGTTGTGACCAAGGCTGGGGCACGAGGTTCGAGCAACGTCGCCTGCTTCTTCTGCACCTTCGGGAGGTACGGGAAGAGCGATGTCACCGCCGATTGGGTCCGCGTCATTGTCGTCGACAGACTCGGCATCCTCCCATTCGGCTTCCGGGCCATCGTTGAAAGCATCGAAATGCTCAAAGATGCTGATGCGCTTAATGTGGGAAGGCCAGAAAGGGAAAGTACGGGCATAATCTGAGAAAGTCAGTCAGTATTGGGCTTGAGGGCTGTGAGACAAAAGAGACATACCAGAATCGACTTCGAGCTGTGCTTCCAAGTCGACTTGATGCCAGGGCTCGAATCGGACTTCCTCGAGCTCAGGCAGACTCGAGATGATGCTGAGCAAGGCTCGAGATGAGATATTGCGATGGTTGCGGCGAAGAATCTGGCAGCTGTTGATGATCGAGACCTCGGGGAGACCGTGTCTTCCGACCTGCTCACAGTTGGCAGTGATGAAGCAGAAATCAAGGTCGTGATCGAAGAAGCGCGAGTTGCCGTCCTGATCCAAGCCCAGCTCACCAAACAGCTTGTTCTTATCGCTGGGCGAAGCGGCGCTGAGCTCCAACTCAACACTCTGGCCCGAAGGTGTCCATTTACTGAGAATGTCGAAAAGGTTCCAGATTCCCCGAGTGAATGCAATCTCATTTTCGTTTTGCTCAGTGTCTGTCTCGGGAACCTTGGCCAGCTTGCTGTTATAGCGAGGCAGCTCAATGCGAAGTGAAATGCGGCGCAGGTAAGAGCGACGGATGGGGTCCTGGAGAATCTCGTCGAAGCGGGAGAGATCCTTGGCTGAGTTGATCTCGAGAGTGTTGAAGTTGATCTTTTCTATGAATCTCTGCCACTGTTGACAGACGACGGCGTAGCTGCCCATGTCATGACGCTTGCTCTTTGACTTTGATGTTCTTGAGCGTCTCTCAGCGACGGCTCCGTAGGCGAGGTGCTCGAGAATGAGGCCCTTGAGCTCAACAGGCAAACCATTCCAAGTTGCCATGTTGGTCTCCTCTTCCATGGTAATCAGTCGTGAGGCCTGGTGTAAAGTCGGCGTCAGATAGGTACTGCAAGCACGTTGGTGTTGAAGACCCTAGTTGATCGGTCTCACCTGTGGACGCCCAAGTCCCTCAATGCTAAGGAAGTTGAGAGTGAATTTTCAGCGGGGCAAGAATGGAGACTAGGCTCACCTTATACCCTTGTTCAAGTCGACACTGGACAATTGAGTGAGTGAGGGGCAAATGAAATGCCTCGTCTTGGGTGAAGGGCCCTGAGTGTGCTCTGAATTTGTGTGCAGAAAGGCGCGCCTTCTTCTGTTTTTTTTTTCCTGCTACTACCTGTCAGTCGAAGGGCTTGGGTCTTTCTGTGTTTTGGTGTTGGAGGTAAGGTAGTTGTTGTCTTGGAGGTCTTTGTGAGGTGACCTACGCCTTTCCTTTGGAGACTTGAATTGAGGTGCGAACGGACAAGTTGCGCGCACCAATCAGCACTTGGCAATGAGAAGACCCTTCTTGAGCGGCCGGTACTTCCTTACTGGAAAATTCCTAGCACAAGTGGGCGCCTTCTGCCATCTAATCGTGTACCGTCAGTGCCTTCCTCACTCAAAACCCCTCTGGCCCTCCGCTCCTTCCCCCCACCTCAGAAAAAGCGGTACAGTGCGTGTTTGGAGGATCGATCACTCAAGACTGTGTTAAGGTACCTAGGTACCTTATGCACTGTCCCCCCCTCCTGCCGATAAGCTGATAGCCTGGGAATGCCGAACCGAAGACACTGGCAGCTGTTCATCCCGTTGCTTCACCCTCTGGTTGGGATTACAGATACTTACCTTATACCAAAAACATTTGCTCATCCAGACGCCGGAGATGATCATGTAACCCAGGTTCCTGAAGGCAGACGGACAGGACAGTCTCTTGCCAGCCCACAATTTCGGGAAAAGACCTAGAAATCTCACCTTGCGTATCCTGAACAGCCGCCAGCAGCCCTGTCCCATGCCCGCATGGCTCGGAGTGGATAGAGTCAGGCTTGGGTCGTTGTCGCGCTAAACGCCGTTTGGCTTATCAGATCTAACCCCGGGCCACTTTCCAAGCGTCTCATCCCAGACATCACATGCGCCCATCTCCTCTCTTGCGGAGTTGCCCAGCTAAACCCAACTCGAGGTAACCTCACCTTCTGACTGACCCCAGCCCACCACCGTTGCAGACCGACCTCCCGGTCCTCGCCCGTTACGAAACCCGACTCATTTTTCTGACTGTGACCAACGTTGTTGGTACTCGTGTTTGCCCAGGCGGATCCCTTTTATCCTCTTTGCTCTTCAATCCATCCCCCAACGCCGAAGAATCCTCCCCAAAGAAGACATCGTCCCCGCCGTACTCGCACTCAATAGTTCCCTCCCAAATATCTTGGCCCTACGTCCTAACCTTTCCGAGACCGCCTCACACCACGAACAGCTCGTACGATCCGATCCATCCCACCCTATCCGACCGACCGACCGACCGATCACGCACATACACACCCACGCACCTCAAGTGAGGACTTTGCTACAAAACCTCGCACACGCCCGTTCCCGACAGATCCTCCTCCTTCTTCACCCTCTTTCGCGCCCACCGTCAAATCAGTCTCATACCTCTTCCTCTCGTCCTCGTCCAACCTGAGAACAAGATGAAGACATCCGCCATCCTCGCTGGCCTAGCGGCCTCCGCTGCCACCGCTGTCCTCGAGCCAGGCATGCCACAGCAACTCCTCTCCAACCCTGAGGGTGGTGCCGACGCAAACCGCATTCCGACCTCATATGAGTCCGCAGTCATGGGCCGCCGCATTCTCGCCGTGACCAAGCTGGCCGAGCTCGCGACCGTCTTCCCAGCGGGCGCCCACTCCGCCTCGGGCGGTGACCTCTCCGGCATGCCCATCGGTCTCATGGACTACGTCGCCGACTGCGAGGACGAGGGCAACCCCACCATTCTGGCCATCACCATCGCCACGTCCTTCAAGAACGTCCGCGCCGGCTCTAACATCTCCCTCTCCATGCACTGGGTCCCGCCTTTCCCACCCGCGAAGCGCATCTCCCTCTTCTCCTCGCTCAAGAACAGAATCTTTGGCTCCTCCGACGACGCCGACGCGGCCGCCGCCCTCCCCGACACGGTCCCCTACTCCGCCGCCAACCTCCCCCGCTTCTCCCTCCTCGGCTACCTCGAGAAGATCCCCGCCGACCCCGTCTCCTCCCTCAAGCTCGCTCACTGCTTCGTCAACAAGCACCCGGACTCCAAGTACTGGCTCCCCGGCAGCCCCGTCCACGAATCAGAGTGGGTTCGCTTCGTCGTCACTTCCGTCTACTGGATCGGCGGCTTCGGTGACCGCGCCTACATTGGCTGGATCCCCCTCGAGGAGTGGCAAAAGGTTACCAAGGAGGAGTATGAGTCCATCGAGCTCCCTGGTGAGAAGCGCGGCTGGAAGGAGTGGAGCGTCAACAGCTGGTTTGACGGCAAGGACCTTTGAATGTTTTTTTTTGAGTAGGATGACACCTGCAGTGATCAGGTAGTTGATGATTAGCGTACGGGAGGGATTCAATCTTTTTTCTTTTGGTATGATACCATTTACAAGGCCAGACCCAAAAGGCCTCAAAGGGGCTTGCTAGTTTGCCATGCATTTTCGGGCCGGTTACTTGATGAGTATTCACATGACAGTTTTGTCCAAGCCGGCAATGTCATTTAGACGAGATCTTCATTCTTGAGGTACTTGCAGTAGCTAAACACGCAAGATATACAGATTGCTGGAGCCAAATCGTCATGCGCGCATCATATGTGTGCACTTTAGAGACTGCGAACCTTGAGAACCAAGCCACACAATAGCAAAAGGGCTGAGGAGGAGGATGATGCATCATTACAGCGTATTATATCAGGGTTTGGGGGTATCTAGCACTACAGCTCTCAGATGTAACCATGCAGGCCACCCTATTCCATCTCTTTCTCTTTCCCCGCCTTTTCAGTCGTTCCCGCGAACCAAATCAAACGCTATGCATGCCTCTCGTGTGTGCACGTGTGCGTGTGTACCCCTGGTATCCCGAATCAAAAATAGCCCCAACGCCAGAAATGATGACTTGATCTTCCGTCGATCGTCCTCAACTATGTACACACAAGAAAAGTTCAACGATCTCAAGACAAAGTAGATAACAAAAAGTAAGCGTCTAGTCAACGCGAATGATGACCTTCCAAGCTAGAGCGCCGGCCTCTCTGATGGCGCATGCAAGGCAACCCCGCCGGCGTCTCGAGATGATGGCATTCCAGCCCTTCTCTGCGCAGAACGCTCTCACGAGAACTTCCATGTCGCTTCCAAACTGGCGGCGCCGGGACTCAAGGTGCATATTGGTCGTCGCAAGGCTGGCACCGTTGGCGGTCCGTTCGAGAATGGGAGACGTGGGGGTCTCTTGCGTCGGGGCCTGACGCTTAAAGCCGGTGATGCAGTCAATAACCAGAACGCGAGGTGTGGTGTTCATGTTGGGAGTGAGAGACGGACGCCGAACGGATGACGTGTTGAGGAGTAGACTATCCAGGGAGGCGTCTGGCTTCTCGAGAAGCTCTGAAAGATGGATAACAGTATATGTGAAGAATTTGTGCAGGGGATGTCCTAGATGATGGTCAGTCTATGCTGCTGTCTGAGGAGGAGTCAGTTCTTCTCACCCGTGATGGTGGCCGGCTTAGAGCTCACACCGCCGATGCCGCTACCGTCCACGTCGATCTGCTGGATAGTGGGGCTTGAAGGGGACCTCAAGACCTTGACGTGGGAAGACGGGTGGCAAGGGTGAGCAGTGACGAAATGAATGTCCTTCGTCAGGGAGAATTGGTGCTCCTTTGCTTCGCCGCCATTGGGTCCGACAGAAAAGGAGATGGAGGCCGGATATGTGTAGAGTTCGTGAGCTCGGGTCACGTCCGAGAAAGGGGTCATCACCGTCTCCTCGGTCGGAGTGGTGCGAGCCGAGTCCACGGGCGCGGACAGGTTGAGCGACGTCAAGGAAATGCTCAGGCTGGGAGGCGGCTCCACATAGTTATTCTCATAAGGGATGATGAAATCCGCGGGTAGTACCGAGCTGGGATCCGCATCACCCAGAACACAAGACTCGCGCTCGACATGAGTCTTACCCCACAATCGGGCTTGCTTGCCTATCTTTTTCATGTCATCTGCCAACGATGTTATGTTTAGTCTACCTCAGGTCAAATGGGGGCTGCTCAGAGGGTTACTTACCACAGACTTCGGCAACATCAATGTTCACCCAGCCGTCACCATGTCCTTGGGGAGTGATATCGCTCGAGATCCATCCCATACATTGAGCAGAGCCAGCACCAGCAGCCAAAACGCGGCCAATGATGCAAGCCGTGCTCCAGAAGCTCTTTCCACGATACACGAAACCACCGCACAAATTCGCCATTGGGCCCAATTTGGACATTGCCTCCTTGTCATTCTCCAAAAGAGTGGTCATAATCAAGTGGTACAGTCCTTCGCCCGGAAGCATTAGGCCGGACACGTAAGATTTGGATAGCCATCCCGAGGGATGCAAAGCTGCCGAGATCTTGTGCTTTCCGGACGGATGCCGAGTAACGCTCGCTTCTGTCCGACCGCCACCGAAATAAGATGATCTCTTCGTGTCGATGCTCATTGGTGTCTCCGCGGGTGTGTGAATGGGCGTTGCTTCTGATACCTTGTTGACTGTCTCGGAAATCTGCTCAGCGTATGTGTCTGATTCGATATCGGGCCAGCGAAGCTTTCTCGCGAAATTCGTCAAGCCATTGACTTGTCTCTCGCTGTACCGTCCCTGTATGGTGTACACGGAGACGTCGCCGTGTGAATGAGCATGGTTATTTGGGTGGAGGCTCATCTTCCCAGTCAAAGATGCCAGCCATCCGCCAGAGTTGCGCTTTTGCGTATTCGCCGGATCGACCTTTCGCTCAATGATTTCAATGTTCTCCAGCCAAGCACGTGCCAAGTGTAATGACCACTTGACTGTTGAGTTTGCGTCCTTTTCAAAGCGCTTAATCTCGGTAGGTCTGATGCTCTCGATACCGAGCTCTTCGCCCTCCGTAATGGCATCTAGTCTGATGAGCAGCTCGCACGCCAGGAGGATCTGAAGCAACAGCCAGTATCTCTCCTCTTTGCGCTCTTCGTTGCTGTCGGCGTCGTCGATCTCGACGTCTGTTTCGAGCTCGTCACCCTCGAAAGAACCCCAAAGAATCTGACCCAGTCTGATTCTCCATTCCACGTGGGAGAAGTCGATCCAGACGTTGGGTGCAGCAAGGACCTTGACAAGCGCCGAGATCTGTACGGAGAGACT